CGCTACAAGTTCGAGATCACCGTGGGCATGCCGCCCGGCGCCGACGGCGCGCGCAGCCGCGAGGACGACGACGGCACCAAGGACATCGTGCTGCGGGCCAGCAGCGAGTTCCAGGGCGTGCTGCTCGGCCTGCGCCAGGGCAGCCTCGTCGAGTTCAGCACCATCCTGGAGGGCCGCCTGGGCAGCAAGTGGCCGGTCTTCGAGCTCAAGGCCATCAGCTGCCTCAACTGCCTGGCGCAGCTGGCGCCCGCCCGGCGGCACGTGAAGGCCGAGCACGACTGGCGCAGCACCGTGCACGGCGCCACCAAGTTCGCCTTCGACTTCTTCTTCTTCCCCTTCCTGTCGGCAGCCTGAGCGCGTCCCGCCGGGGGGGTGCCCGGTGTGCGCTGCCCCGGCGGTGCGCGGAGGCTGTGTGTGTGGTGTGCTTGCGTGTGCAGACCCAGGGTTCCAGGCGTTGCCAGGAATCGCATGCTTGGCGTTCGCCCACCCCCACCTTTCTGAGTGACACAGGTGTGCCAGGCTAGACCAGAAAACCCGGGTCCTGAAAAGCACTTTCTAGGTAAGATTCTTCCTCCCTCCACCCGCACCCTGCCGCCCCTCTTTACTTCTGTGTTGGATTGTTCCTTCGAGAACCAAATATGCGACGTGTAAACTCCGCGGTGGCATTTCTTGTTTCCTTGGGCACTGCTAAGCCGCCGCAGCCGTTCACCTTTCCGGGCGCGAGCGTGGAGTGTGCACAGCGGCCTGAGCCCGTTGTGTGGTCAAGGCCTGGCCCGATCCTGCCCTCGAGAGGCGGCAGCTCTGGGCAGCAGGCCGCCTCACGGCCCTCCTCTCCGGCGGGTCGGGGTGTGTGTGAGGGTCCTGCCTGACTCCCTCAGGACTTGGGGCCAGGACTCTGGGCCTCCCTCCTGGTGCTTGGAGGGGCCTGACCTACGCTGTAGGGCAGAAAGCCCAGGTCCCAGAGTGGCCGAAATAAACACCTCGGTGAAATCTGCAGTCCTTCCTTCTTTATTTCGCAAAGTCTTGCGTGCACACACTTGCGAAACGAGGGCCTGCACATGTCGAACGAAACACGAGTGCAGCGTGACTCGCAGAAGAGCAGAGCCGACTTTCGCATCGTTGATGTGCCCCTGCCCAGGGCAGACCCCAGCTCCAGCGCTGGTGTGAGGCCCCCGTGGCATCTGCCGTGCATGGGACTGCTTGTGGCGGGGCCTCCTGGGCCCCAGGCGACCCACTCACACCTTGCTGGGTGGGAAGCGCGTAGACACAGCCATCCCTGGAATTCCAGGCGCTGGTGGGATGGAGTGTGCGTGTGTGCTTCGTGGCTTGGGTGCACCGACCCATTCTGGCATGTGTTGTGAACCACATCCTGTGTCCCGTGACGTGCCACAGTGCCCCCACGGGATTGCTGCCAGCCCTTAGTCACCGGGTGCAGGGCGCCTCAGGCCCTGCGCAGGCGTGGCCCCCTGGGGCATGTGTGTCTGTCTCCGTTCCTCAGTCCTCTGTCTCTTCCCTGGGGGTGAGGCAGGCAGGCCCCGCTCCTGTCCCCCGTGGGCCAGGCCGCCCCCCACCGCCAGCAGGCCCTCTTTGCTGCAGGTGGGAGCTTTGAGCTGCGACGGGCTCCTGTGGGTTGGCCACCCCGTGCTGACAGTTCAGGGTGGCTGCCCCTTCCTCGGATGGCGGTTCTCTTGGTGCTGGTGTCTCCCGCACTGAGGCCTGTGGGATACCCCGCGTGTCACTGCTCGGAGCCATGTGTTTGCTCCTGGATCTCTTCCCGGGTTGAGATGAGGTTAAAGGTCAGCCTGATGCCCCTCCCTGCCCTGCAGGCTCATGGGACCCTGGAAGGCCTTCGCCTTCGGACCCTGCCCACGCTCCCCACTGCTTACGAAGGGGGGGCAAGCTGCCCACAGGAACATGGGCTCGGTCTGCACGGCACCTGGAGGAGGAGGTGCTCCAACGTCCCGTCCACGGAAGAGGAAGCTGAGGCCCAGAGAGGACGTCACGGCACGTTAGAAGCAGCCGCAGTGGACTGAGCTCAGCCTGTCCCTGTCTCCCGACCCCTCCCTGTGCTGCTGTTTGGCACCCACAGCTTGTTCCCAAACAACCTGAGGGGCACTGTGGTCTCCCAGGGGCCCCCAGATTGCACACTGGGCCCGCCTTCTGCTGCTCACGGTGCCAGAAACCCCTCCGTGACCAGGAGCCACTCAGCACCAGTCCCCGGGCCTCAGTGTCCTGATCTGTGAAGTGGGAAGTCTGGGCTAGGTCAGTGGTTTTCGAAACTTCTCAGCGGCGACACCCTTTTCAAGAAGCAAGGTGGCCGGGCTTGGTGGCTCAGCCTGTCATCACAGCACTTTGGGAGGCCGAGGTGAGTGGATTGCCTGAGCCGCGGGTTCGTGACCCACCTGGGCAACTTGGCAAGACCTCATCTCTACAATAAATCAAAAATTAGCCGGGCGTGGTAGCGCGCCCCTGTAGTTCCGGCTACT